TTAATCTAAATCGAAGCGTAATCTCATCTAAAGGCAATCTAAAAGGAAAAAGTCCGTTTCTCGCCTAGACTCGTGCTAAAACTCTTAAAAGGGGGAATATATATTTGTGGACCGGTTCGACCCGGTCTAAATGCCGGGACGAAGGGGGACGACTCTCGCGGACGAAGAAGAACGACTCTCGCGGACGAAGAAGAACGATTCTCGTTGACAAAAGAGAAAGACCCTCGCGGACGAAGGGGAAGGACTCTCGTTAATTTTCCTCCTTTCCACATCCGAGTCCGAAATCGATGCACACAAATGGGAGAGCGTATTCATGTAACACGGGCCGCGATGTCGGTCTTAAATGGTGTTCCCTTCGATCCACTGCCTTATGGTGTCTTTTCGCTCTTTCACCAGATGCTTCTGGGTTAGAGTTTAAACGAGAACCGGAATCGCCCGATCGTCATGCAGTGAGAAGTCCCGTTCCTTCCGCTTCTCTCTCGTCCGGTGGGAGATTCCCATCCCGCTAAATCTTATTTCCTCGCGTTTGGGAGAAGGAGGGGGGAGGGGAGGGGGGAGGGGAGGGGGAAGAGAGAAACTCTAAGGCACGTTTACTGCCCGAGTGAACCACTTGGCCCCACCCTGAGTCCCGCTTCGGGAAAGGAGTTGCCGAGCAGGATCGGTTACACGATCCGCAAAAAAGGTCGACGGACCACATATGATCGGTAGCATGAAGCACCAAAACGGCAGATCGAGCCGAACGAAACCCCAGAAAGACGAGAGAAACCGAAGAGTCCGGTGATCGCAAGCGTCTTCGGTCGAATCGCATCCGCTTTCGAGGGAGTTCGGGGCAGTCCAGCCAGAGAACGATTCCGTGAAAGAGTGCCAAATGCACCGGACGCATCGGCGATCGATTGGGATTCTCGGAACACACGACGATGGGCTTCTCGAGTCCGCGAAGTAATCCAGAGAAAAAGAAGACACGGAACCGCTCGAACGAGGAGGCAAGGATCTCCGCGGTCGGGTATCTGAAGGAGGCAAGGAGGCAAGGGTTTCCACGGTTCAGTGTCTCAAGTTAGCTATTAGCCAAATGATCTCTTTTCTTGTTTTCACTTCGTGAAACCCCTCGAGAGATCGTGAAACGATAGTCTTTTCCAACTATTGGATGGAGTAAGATGAGCGAAAAGCATCTAAGGAAGCGATGCACGAAACAGCAAAGGATTAATAACCGGAACGTGACCATTGCTGAGACGCATACTGCCGTGGAACCATCTCGTGAGAGCGCAAAAGACAGGAAGAATATCGTTACGGACGAGTCGAAAGCTCAAAATGTAACACACACGTGTGACGTTGCCCAGCTCGTCGCATGCATGCCCGTTTTAACATAGGATAAGTGAGAGAAGTTCCGACCCCCTTAAGCCGAAAATCCGCCCCCTCGCATGCGTTTTGGAATCCATGGTTTTTTGGATCTATGCCATTCGGGAGGAAAGTGCACTCTCTATCCGTTCACGTTTTCAGACCGGAAATTCGCAAGATACGGTTGATGAAAAGAGTATGTTTGGATCTCTTATTACGTTGAATTGTGTCATACGGGAGGGGGGGGGCGGTTTTTCTAACAGGGTTGGCATGTCTCACCTTCCTTGATCCCGCTTTTTGCACGCTTCGAAGAGAAAAACGCGGTATGTTCACCGTTGGAGCTTCCCACGGCATCGTCTTTATCCTGTAACGCATCCTTTCCCAGGTTTTTCCAATAAACGAAGACGAATGGGAGGGGTACGAAGATGAAGCTGGAGGAAGACACGGAGGAGAACATGTAAAAAAAAAAAAAAAAAAAGAAAAAAAAAAAAAAAAAAAAAAAAAAAAAAAAGGAAGCAAGCAAGCCGTTTAAAAGCCGTTTAAAAGAACTCGCCTTTCGTCTTTCTCCCTCCCGCATTCCTCCCCCTCCCCCTCCCCCTCCCCCTCCCTCCCCCCGAATCCTCATGATCATTATTGATGCGTGATGCGCGACGAGGCATTTTCTTCCTTCTCTCGAGAGCTCGTGCTCGCAGCTGCGGGCCCTGCCGAAAATCTCCAGCGGCATCGAAAGGAACTTCCGAGGGGCGAAGAACCCGGAGAGGGGGCTCGATCGGTCTTTGAAAAGAGGTAAGCCGCCGTGAAATCGCATCTCGACCGCAGAGAAAAGAAGAGAGAAAGGGAAGAAAAAAAAAAGAAGCCGGATGGGTATGCGAAAATCTCACGCCTCCTAATAAAATGGCCAGGTTGGAGGTCGGTATGCGCAGTTGAATGGAAAGTAATGGTCGGACCTGCACAGTGTGATAGTAAATCTCGGAGTCGGGGCTCCTCTCGATCTTATCTGCATGTTTATTCCAGTCTCCTGCTGCTTTTCGGATGGAAAGACGATTCTTTACGCTTGTCACGGGTCCTCTCCGGAATATAAAGCAAAAAAAAGTGCTGGAGGTTTCGGGGAACTCGACGGAACAAGGGGGGGGAGGGAGGGGGGACACGAGAAGAAGGACCATCGAGATCGCTCGTCCGTGGAAACGAAGGAGAAGACGACGTCGATCCGATCGCGAGGAAGCGAACACCCGAGGGAACGCGACGGTCCGAAAATTCTTCCTTCGCGGTTATCGATCTCGATTCTCGTTCTTCTCTTCGAGACGAGAGGCAAGGAAGCGAGTTAAAAGTGGATTTCCGCGTGTGATGGTTCCTCGTACCGACGGGACCGAGAAAGGAAAAGTCGTCAGGTGGGACGGAACACACGAGTCCGGACCAACGAAGATCGCTTCCCTTCCCATCCTTCTTCGTCCCGAGCAAACTTTCGCATGCCGTCTCGTCCGGACGAGATATCGGTCGGCACCATTTTTTTTTTTCGGCGAGGTTCACTCCACTATGAAGTTAATTTAGAGCGAAAGTCGCCCGGAATCGCAATTCTCGCATTCGGTTCCGGACTTCCGCGGGAAGCGGGCGCACCGTTGCACGAGGCTCGATGGACTGCTGCTTGTAATTGCGAGGCCGCAACGCCGCAAGAAAAATGCAGGAGCTCCTTACGGCAGCGAAGCAACGCATCGCTTCCTTGACCTTCGTGAGGTCAGAACGATTTTTGAAACAGGAGGATCGAATCCGGGTGAGACGTGGGCCAAGTTGTTCCGTGGGATGAACGTAGCACACGAGCTCGTCGGACATATTAAATTGCATTTCTTCTCCCTCTGCATTACATGCACCATTGAAACGGAGCACAAGAAGCTTCACGTTTCTTCACTTGAAAGTTTCGTCAATGCAACAGCGTCACTTCTGAATGATTCTTGAGCCCGTGTTAACGTCCGCATGAGCCTGCTTGCATACGATTCCTTGCCCGACAGGCAAATTCCTGGGCCTTGCAAATCAGATTACTCTCACGTCTCGACTCGATGCTATCGAACATTTTGTCTCTCATAAATCATAGTTAGGCATGGAGCACATGTGCATTTTATGTAGCTTAGGTTTATGTCTCCTGTTAAAACTGTCTCGACTTGTCCCTCATCGATTCGATGACGAAACGAAGTCCGATGAATTAAAATTGCCGAGAGATTGCCGCTAATGAAAGACTTGGAACCGAAATCGGAAATTTCTCATTATCGCCCTAAGACGGCTCAGAAGTAAATCCTGCAATTCGTACGAGAGTCGTATCAACGTGAATAGTGAAGGCTATTTTCTCGCATTTCTTTCTGAGTCCATCTGCAACGCGGGAGGAACTATCCGGAATTTCAGAGAGATCAATCTTGACGACGTAGAATGTGAGATACGATTTTGTAAACAGTGCTCATTTGGAAAGATCGATGAAAGTGCACCCTTTCTATTTGGCGGCAGCCGTAAAACGAGGAACGACCACGACCGGGCAAGAATGAAAAGAAACTTATATTGGAGGTGAGACACTCGACACTCGACATTCTCGGTTCCCCAAAACCCGGCTCCTCTCACTCGATTTCTCTTGCGACCACGCACTTTGCTCCTTATCGATGTCTGGCTCGATTGCTCGTCTCCGTCCTCGTCGACGGATCTCTCGAAGACCGCCGTGGGAGCGTGTCCGCTCTCGTCTTCGCGTTCCGACACGCCGACCGGTAGACCCCAGCGAGCCGGAATTTCGGCCGAGATCGCGGGTCGATCCCTTTTCCTTTCCGCTTCTCTCGGACGGAACGACCGAGACGGTGCGCGAGCCGGGAACTCATCGGATTTCGCGACTTGGGGGCCTGCCAAACGGAAAAGAAGAGAACGTTCGTCGTCGGTATCCTCCTCCTCCGTCCGAAACTCTGGGCCCGAGTCCGTCGCGGAGCGAGAACTGCACTCGGTTCGCTTTCGCACCCGACTGACGGTAGAAAGGATGCAGCCGACTTCGGAGTCTTCGAGTCGTTCCGTCGCCTCGCTCGACCCGATGCCGGTTTCGTATACCTGCATCTTCGAGGGATCGTACCAACCGAACGGTGCGGAATCGAATCGCCTCGGCTCTTCTCTCGGTCTCCATTCCTCCCGGATGCACGGTGCCCCGCGGCTCGGGCCAACCGTGCCGGTCGAATATCACTTTTTTCGATATCGAAGCCTCCATATACGCGTACAATCTGGGAGAAAGGAAATCACGAGGTACTCGACACCAGGACTAAATCGGCACGTCCCATCGATCGAGATCCCGAACGATAACCAGAAGTGACGCACCATAAGGAAGAATGCGTGAATCGGTCCCGTGACGATATCGTTGGACCGAGACCGCTCGTCTTCCCATTTATTTGAAGAAATTGAAAGGGTGAGCCAACGTTCGGTGGAATCTCGATCGGTATCGATTTTTTTTTCGTGATTTTCCTCCGTAAATTAACCTTTCGTTAACCTTTTCCTTCTCGGCCCGGGCCATCGTCGTCATCTCTATGCAAAGGAGCATGCGCAACGTAGAAAGAATGGGATATAGGAGGCGGGAACGAGGGAAGAAACACGCATGCGCAATGAGGACGGTCTCTGGGCAAGACCGGCTGGCCCTCCGCGACTCTGCCCGACCCCCTCAGTCCACCACCAACCACATCACGTGGGGAGTCTTCTGTACATACGCATACTCGTACTCATCTTCACAAATTACGTTCTGTGAGGGGGAACACTCGAGAAGCGAACCCCGTGGAGGCACTGTTTGTGACTTGGAAACTCACCTCTTCGACATGGGGTAAACGTGTTTCGAGGGTGTGGAACGCTTTCGGGCGATCGCAACCTTCCCTTCGGACCTTCGGTAAGTTTGTCCAACTTCCGTACGAAAGGATCGGGCATTCGTAACGGCCGAAGACGAAGGGAAAAGAGGAAGGGAACGGATGAGGTAAATTGAATCACCGTGACGACGTCGTGAATTGATCTGTCCTTGAGCACTTGAGCCGTGGAATCTGTGCGATGAGTTAATGAGCTACAGCCCCGAATGAAAACCGCGACTCTCGTTTCTCCATCTCCATCACCGCGAAGTGAACGCTTCCTGTGAATCCTCGTCCCGCGCGAACTGCAGTACGGATGACAGCACGTGCTTGTGAAGGAAATTCCTTTCCTATATAGGGAAACTTTTTTCCGTAAGAAATGTCGGTTAGAATTATAAATGGACAGTCTTATCATCCGGGAGAAGCCATCCGAATGAGGGGCTTTATCTCTGCTTTTCCCGCCAACCGCCTTATCTCGCCTCAGAGTCGAAATAGCTGCTGAATAAAAGCTCTTCCTGATGAATGGAATGGGAAACAAATAGAGACTTCCGTCGCCTATCTTCTTAGGAGCCATTTTACAGGTCGTTCCCTTGTTGACTCTGCGACCACATCCGGTATCTCATCGATTCGAGGAGTATTTACATGGGGAACTCTGCATGAGAGTTTCGTTAGAGGGGTTTGGGAATTGGTAGGGGAATGGCTAAGAAGGACGTTCTTTTCGGGCTGATTGGACGTGGGATCTAGTAGTGGATGGGATTTAATCAGTGGGAGAGACTGATGAATCTTGTCTCTGTCGTCCCTTCCCTTCCTCAACCCTTCTCTTCCTCCCTCCCACTTCCAGAGAGAAAAGGAGGCTAAGGAGAAATCGGAGTGATGGGGCGATCCGTTCCGTTTCTGCACGTAGGTGCAGTAGAATTCATAGGGCCATTAAATCGAGTCGTTTTCACGGAACGAATCGAAGCTGGGCGTAAAAGTAATTTTAGTCAAAAACTAGACAGTCATACTTGAAGTCTTCTAAAAAGAAAAATTTATAGTCTGACTGGCATATTTGCGCAATGCAAAGATACCGATATTCGTGGGGATCATTCGATGAACTGATACTATACTATCATATTTTCGCGGTGTTCCTCGAAAGGTGCAGAGGGAAGGAAGATGGCAGGGGAAGAAGAAGAGAAGAAGAAGACGGAGGACACTGAATTCGAGCCAGTGCTTTCGGAGAGACAGAAATCGGGAGTGACGCGAACTCCTTCACCGAAATGGTGTAAAAGGACCTGTTGTTGGGCCCTCTTTCAGTGCAGTATGGTGTTGACCCTTCTGGCCGTGATCGTGTTCCTCGTTCTAACGGTTCATGAGCTCGAGACCCGTGTGAAGAGGCTGGAAGTGCGAATCAGGGATGTGGATTCTTTCCCTCCGGATTCCCGATCCGTTCTCCACCGTGAAAAACGACAGACCGGTTTTGAATGCCATTGTCCTCCGGGTGAGTTCCCAATTTCATCCCAAAGAAATACGACTCTCGTTATTAACAAAATCTCTTCGGGGAAGAAAGATGAGACCGTTACGTGACTTCCACAATTCGAGAGGTGTTTGAAGTCCTTGGAGGAAGCGCTTTTTCGAGTAGATCAATATTTGTGAACCAATCGTCGATGATGATTGGTCCACAAGGATGAAAGGTAGCTCTCGAGACCTCGACATCGTGTTTCCGTTGCGGTCCCTTACGTTATTGCTTTATTCACGTGGAGAATAGGAGACCTAGTCGGCGACCGATTCGTTTTGATCGCGATACGTGAATGCCCTCAAAGAGGGCAGACAGTCGGTGCAAGGCCGGATCGTGTAAAACGTTAGGGACAATAGTCGATTAAGGCGGTCTAAATCTGGAAGCCCTCTGTGTGTTTATAAGGGGCATGTGTATGTGTAAAGGGGGGAAGGGAAAGAAAAGGGAGGAGAGCAAGAGTCGGCTGGATCAGAGCATGACCCTGAAATGGAGAACTTCGGCTTTTTCCGTAATTGATTTCTTTGCCTCCTAAACCATATAGCTCTCCCCCTCTCCTTCAGTGCAAACCCGGCAATTTGAGAACATTCTGGGCTCATTTTATTTTCACTCGGACCACCAAAGTCGAGAGTACCTTTTTATATTATAAATAACGTAGGGTGGATTTTTTAACTGAGCACTATCTAATAATGCAGCTTTATTTTCAGGAAAAATACATTATGCTTCTTGAAAATAAGCTGTATTATCGGATAGTTCCCTGTTCAAAAATTCACCCTTGGTCTTTTTTTTTAGCCGGAAGAGAAAAGATATCAAAGAAGCTTATCCCATTAGTTTTCTTCCGACATAAATCCGTTTTGCATGCTTCAAGGCATCTTCGGTCATTTTCATGGCATTTTAATCGATATCGGTATCATGAAAATGTCTGAAGACGTCAGGGAGTACGTGAACAGTTCCGGGCAGTATGCTTCAAACATTGAGGCAGCTGCCTAAAATTTCACATTCACTTAGCGTCTTCAGGCATTTGTATCTGGAAAACTTAAAGACAAGAAATGTTAAATGAAAGTAGCCGCTGTCTTGGACATTACCTCCAAGAACACAATGGTAGTTTCCGGGACAAAAAGGCCCCAAGTATCACGCTGCCCACTTTTCACCTACACCTCTCGCATCGTCCAGTCTAAGCTCTCCCCTGCAGTTTATCTTCGATTGAAGCTAAGCTAACGGCAGGGAGTGAAGTTTGAAGTTTAGAGGGAGACAAAGGAAGGGCCAGGCCCAGGTGGGATTCGATGGGAGTGCCTGCCTTGTTTTCTCTCTCCCTGTCTCTCAGATCGGATTTCATTCGCCCTCCGGGGCTTATATACCTCATTGTCTTCTTCTTCCCTATTGCACGTTCCCTCTCGTTTTTCAATCACCTTCGGTCTTCACAAGGCACCGCATCGACTCGAACACGTAACCGCGGCTTAACAGAGGGGGGAAAAAAGAGAAAGAAGAGATTTTTTGAACGGAGAAAGAAGATGCGCTGCATGAGTTTGCTGGTGGGGGGTCAATCAGAAGTCAATCTCCAACTCATTTCCCATCGATATGTCCCTATACAATGGGAATAATAGGGGATTCATCTCGGGATTCTAATTGCATCTTTGATCCCCTGGGGTCTCCCTCTCTCTCCCATCCGACAATCTTCCTCCATCTCGAAAGACCGTGTTCCCCAAATCGATACGTAGACGTAAGATGGAGCTTGCGACATTCTTGACTGCTCTGCACTCGAGATGAGGGCATACGAAGAGAATCCCCAGGCATATGCAGAGAAGATAAAAGGTTTCCCATAGTGACAGGGGCTGTCTGAGCCCGAGACGTGTAACTCCATTAATCTCGATTGAGATGTGAGATAGGTTTATGAATGGAGAGAGAGTTCTTGAATCCCTGCCAGGGAGAAGGCCATCATCTGCCTTCAGGGTATGAAATATACTTTTTTCGGCCTGGATTTGATGCGAAGGAGGGACGAATTTGGATGTAAATGTATGAGCCAAAACCCCTTCATTAGGAAACAGTAAGAATCGTGTGAGATAGCTCCCCCAAAAGCAAAGATACAAGACTTCGGAGCGTAAGAATCGTCAGCGAAGACGGCGATCGTTAACATACTGGGGATGTGCCTTGCCTGAGAAGCGGTTTTACTCGGGCCTCCCTATTTAGTGGGCCTCCTTTCCTGTAAGGCAGGGGTTCCCAAACCCAGGGTCACGACCCAGGGTTTGGATGTTGAATTTTGAGTCGTGACCAAAAAAGTTTGGGAACCACTGCTGTAAGGTAAGAGACCACTAATACAGTGCGGTGGGGTAGCTGTATGCCCGAGATAAAAAATCCTGAAATTTTCTCATTTTCAAACGGTGATTTGAATGCTTAAAATATATATTTGCTTTATCTGAACTGACAGAGCTTCTGCCAGTGAGCTGCATCGATTGATAATGAGAATTGAATAGCCATATAGCTCTGGAGCTCAAAATCGAGGGCATGAGTCCATTTTTCCTTCTCCTTTTGAATTGGAGATATTTTCACCAGAGTTGGAGGGCTCAATGTCAATGTGTGATAAAGAGGAAGTGGTAAGTCACATTAGGCATGAATGTGAGGAAGGGGGGATAATATGCAGGTACCCCTTTCTGCCAAGACCTAGGGTAAGTGTATAACCAACCCCCACACCCCACCTATTCTAATGAAGACGTACCTTACTATATCGTACCTTAGTAAAAACTATTTGACCTACCTTCGATTGGCTTCGTCATCAGTAAAGCGATTTATTTTGCCCGAAAGTATTCTGACCTCATAAAAATGGTCCATTTGTTCATGAGTGTCAGATTCTGGGACACATCCTGGATCCTGAATTGAAACTGCATGGTAGCACTATCTCATGAGTTCCAAGCTTGTTTGCCCACCTTTGACGTTAAATCCGATATGGCTAGGAAGACAAAAAAAAGATGAAAAATGTTCTGGTAAAGCGGCATGCATTGGAACGTTTGAGTTTCCGTATATTCTCTTAGTTTTTTTTTTTTTTTAAGCAGAGCCTTTTCGAGGATTTCTCTGACTGATTTACATTACCGCAGAGTCTCTACCACTGTAAGCAGTCATTATTTTTGGGATATGGGAAAGGGGAAAAGCGTGCAGATGTGGGTGTTCATGCGTCAGCGTGAACTTTAAACTGCAAGAGTGGGAAATCGTATGGGAAATGGGCCCGCTGCACTTCGAGTCTTCACACTGGACCCTGTCTTGCTCTATTAGTAAAGATGTTGAAAAAGAAGCGAAGGTGGAGGATTCTAGGAAGAAAGGGGAAGGCTGGCAGTTGATTCTATGCTCCCTTGTTATTGTTTCCGTTTTGTTCCTTCGTAGAAAGCGAGGTCGTTTATTGTCATGCACCCAGAGAGGCCCCGTTGATTAATTTCTTCCTGTAACACCAAGCCCCCCTGAACTGTATACAGGCCTACGGTCTACGAACATGTGCATGGAAGCCTCTCTGACCCCCATTCATCCCACCATTCAAGAATAGCGAGAGGCTGTGTCGTTTTTCCGAGCTTCTAATATATTACAGCTTCAGCCCAATTAGCCGCTTCTATTGCCCAAAAGGAAACGTGACTGATGGTCATTGTTAGCAGGAAAAGCTTAGAAAATCTCGTTGCTGTTTAGAGGGTGGGGTTTTCCGACGATCTTCGGACTCTGAGTACCTGTTTTGGTACTTGCTGCCTCTGATCCATTTGGTCAAATATTAACTCCTGGTGACCCCAATGCGCAAGGTGTCACTTTTATCGGATGCAAGTATCGAGCTTTTATGTGCTACGTGATTGGAAATAGTGGACGGGGACATTTCATAAGAGGGACCTTAGATCTTGGACCTGCTTTACGAGCGCGAGGATGATTGAACAGATTGAAAGTTCGGGAGATGGATAGAGGGCCGAGAAAGGAAGAAGCAATCTCGACTGGACGGAGATGCATCATCTCCGTGCGCTTCCGCAGTAGAAGGGAGACACGTTTTCCAACACCCACGCCATCACAGATAAGAGATGGTTTTCCCTCTTCCGGCTCTCGAGGAGCTCTCAATCCTATTTATTGGGAGTTTCTACCGTCTGTCATATCATGCTATGATCCCTGGGAGCTCCTGTGAGACACATGGAAAAGACCGGTTGCGCGAGCGGAGCTGTGAAGGGACGAAGATACTAGCGATCCAAAGGACACTTTCGATCACCTTCAACTCTCGAACGGGACAGTCCATCGGCGCGAGTTTTGCATCTTGAGAGCAAGTTATGTTCAAGGTTTGGAACCCAAAGCGCACGAAGCGGAGTGCCTACCGAGTAAAACGAAAAACAGATGATGCCGTAGGCCGTTATGTAGGTCTGCTGTTAGCACCCGCTGCAGGAGGCCGAGACGGAACTGGGAAAGGTGAAGGAAACGGGATCGCTGAGAAAATCTCCGCGCCTTCTTCATCTCGTTCCTCTTCTGCCATCTATCTCCGCACGAGCGTTTTACTCTATCGAGCAGATCTCATTAAGCGTGAAGAGGCTTCCACCCAACGCAGCATTAGCAATTGACGTTTAATTGCCGTACTCTTCTATGACGACACCCAAACACGCATTGTGCCTCCCACCAAAACTATCCTTGGGCTTGTTATTCTGTTTCGCACTCAACTATGAACAGTTTCATTGTAATAACAGATTCAGATTGACGGAATTGATAGGAATTCCAAACGTATGTGCAGTTATGTTTGTCTTTTTATGGGTAAATTGGACCAAAGCCCCTTGGAGCCCTATAAATGACTGTTTAATAGAGGGCTGTTTCTTGATTTGCCTTCATAGTTATCCAGTTTTGAAGCTGTCCATATCTTCGTGAATTACTCGAGTTCGATGCATCAATCAAGTTCACACACACTTGCTTTAACAACTACGTCAACTTCTACGACTGTAATGTGTTGATCGTTTATGCAAAAAGATTTTGCAAGCGCTAATATTGTTTTACTTGAGTACAAGTACTTCGAAGTTTTTTTTTAAAACTTGAGTTCTAGTAAATTTGAAGTAATGATCTGTATTAAACGAATTGGAATGAAATGGCAGGATGATAGGATAGGATGTTCCCGAAACGTAAGCTTTTTTCTAAGCCTAAATTGATCGTTTCTGGCTAGATTTTTTTCCGTAATGGAAGCTCTTGCGGACTCTTGCAATGGGGCACTAGACGCGCGGCCTGCATTTCTGCCCATGGTTTTTTTCTTTCTCGTCTTTATTCAGAACACATTTTACTTCATGCTTTGGTTCTAGTAGCTAGGCCAGAGACAAAATAAAACATTCCATAATGATGCAAAACTGACTCACCGTCCCTTGGCAGAGAAGAGCACGATTGAAACTTGGCCTTTTGCTTTTTGAAAGCCCAGTATAAGTATCGCTTATACCCATCAGGGGAATAGAAAGGGTGCAGAAGAAGAATTCCAGGAATAAAAATTCATATTCTTCCTAGCAGATATTCTCGTCTTCTGTACAAACTTTTGTGCAGGCTGCCTAGATATTGGCATGGTTTGCAGTTGTGGCAATCCGTAACTGCGGTTTCTTCGCATCCGTTGTTGAAGCATGCAGTCGAAGACTTGTCCGAGCGCAAGAAGAATGCTGCAGCTGACCTTCAAATTCCTTTCCTTTATCATTTCCAAACAAAGCGCCTCGTCGTCACAATACATGTGAATTTCGCGTGCGACAAGTAAGAGGCATTTGTGCTTGTATATAATAAGTTTTGGCTTTCGTGCTTCGTTCTGTTGACATCGAGCAGCAAAAAATGTCATTAGGGAGTTTATTTTTAGCCATTCCGAATGAGAACTGGGCGAGTGACAAGGTACTTGCAACGTGTGAGGATAATTTGGGTATATAATATTGGGTGCATAATATATAATATAAGTATATAATATTGCTTGATATTGCCATCACATGATGGCAATATCAAGCACCAATACTGTATATGTTGATGTTGGGTTTCGT